AATTGGGCCTCAAAGAGAGACCCAATAAAACCCTAAAGAAAAGGAGACAAACAACAACACACAAACATAGAATTGGGCCTGCTAACACACAAATGCAAGGCCCAACAAGTCAATGTGAAAATACAAAGAAAGATATGAGTGAGCTCCAACTCGTTGTCATCACGGAGGTGGAATGTTGTTGTCCTAAAGGGGTCGTGTAGCGAAAGCTAGGCTCCTTCGTCTTCGCACGTCAATCGAGTTGAACTCAAACTGCTAGTGTCTCTTGAGCTAATGGAGATGGGTCCCGCTCACCATCACATTTTAATTGAAGTATGTATGAAACGAAAATAACTTGCTGTAAAATATAAATAAATGAAAAAAGTAGGTAAGTAAATACTAAAAATAGGAAATAAATTATTGTCCAAGTTTTGTTTGCCTCTTGGGGAACTAGAACCACGGGTGTGGCAGCTTGGTTTCGTCTAGATGTGCCACACTATGTCAGAAGTCGCAGAAGTATTATTTGGAAGTACTATGTCACTTGTTGGTGAGATCGACCAAAAGGAGGGGTCAACCACATTGTCACCATTGTTTGAGGGGGAAGGAAAGAGCAGACTACTCGCTAGAGGCTTTGAGTGTAGTCAGGGGAGGAAGGAATGAGCTTTTTGATTGCCGGAGACATTGATCGCAGAAAAGAAGGGAAGAATGGATTGTTGTATTCATGACTACCATTGGGATTTCAAAGATAATTGATAATGTCTATCTTACTAGATAATAATTAATTATTATCTTTATATCCTTAATGGTGATACATCGAGAGCTTAAGTTCTCAATATCACGGTGCATCGCAAGCCACTGATTAGATGTGCTTGGTCACATGGTGTGCTAAAAGATGTAGGATCAACTTGTCATGAACCACTATCGACTGGAAACTTAAGTCTCTATACCATGTTGGATCATCATTTATGGCCATGTGTGTGCTTAGCGGCGTTGGATTTGCAAATTTCTAATAGATTACTTTACGCATCTAGTATCGTGGCATCTTGCTCACTGCATTATCTAGCTTTTCTAATGATGTGGCTCATTGAATATCACTAGTTCACACTGTGCTCTACATGGCTTTCTTGAGACACGAAAATATTTAGTCTAACATCAAAAATACTTCAACGCATGAGTCAAATATAAGTCAAAGCTACCATCTCTCATTGGAGATCCCTTCTCTTGAAATAAAATAATATCCTAGGACCATCTTGGGAGAAGGCAAAAAGGTGGTTCGCCCTCGCACGCACGTGTGTACGATGCTCCTTGCTCCATGACTAGTTGGCCATTGAGATGTGGTAGAGGAGTGATGCACATGTGCATGGAGCGAGTCCTTCACCACTTGAGCCCAGCTCGTGGTTCCCTCAATCTGAGTCCACCCACTTGACTGCAGTGCCCCTTCGAGTCAACTATTGAGTGTAGGCTTGCTAGGAAGCATAATACTTTTATGTTTTTAAAATAATAAAAAATTATGCTAAGTATTTTAACTTGAGACTTCTAAAATTAACAATATATTCTATATTTATTTTTTATGTTAAAAAAATAAAATAAATAATAAAACTAATTTAAACACAAAAAACTAGCTTTAACAATCATCATTTCTTTGTTGCCTATAATGTGATCTATTGTTAAAGCTAGATTTATGTGTCATAATTAGTTTTAACATTTGATTTTATTTTGTTAACTTGTAGAATAAATATAGGATATATTGTAAATTTTAATTTGAAGTTCAAAATACTTAGTGTAATTTTTGATTATTAAAAAAAAACAAAATCTTTTGCTTGCTAACAAGCTGACACTTGGCACTTGACTCGGAGGGACACTGCAGTTGAGCGGGTAGACCCCAAATTGGGGGAGCCATGAGCTAGACTCGAGTGGCGAAGGCCTCACTCCACACACGTGTGCGTCACTCCCCTTCTACATTGCCAACCGATTGTGGAGCAAGGAGCGCCCATACACACTTGCATGTGCGAGGGCACACCACCTTATTGCCTTCCCCCAATATGGTCCTAGGCATTATTTTATTTCAGAAGAAGGGATCACTATTGAGAGAGAGAAACTTTGATTATATTCTGCTTAAACGATAGCAAACTTCAGATGTGGGACTAATTGTTTTTGTCCATTTTAGTGCAGCCATTTGAATCACGATGTGATCTAGTGGTATTCAACAAGCCACGTCATTGGATCACCCTGATCTTGCGGCTGGTGAATCACCACAATATTAGATGCGTAAAGTGATCCATTGGTGGTTCGTGAATCCGATGTCACTCAACATGCACTTGGCCGTAAAGGATGAACCAATGGCTAAGGAGGCACCACAATACTAAGAACTTAAGTTCTCAATTGGTAGCAGTTCGTGGCGGGTTGATCTTGTGTCAATCAAAGTGCTACGTGACCAAGCATATCTGATTCAACAGCTCTTGAAGTGCCACGATATAGGAAACTTAAGTCGTCACA